GCCTCCCAAAGTGCTGGGATTATAGGCGTGAGCCACCGCGCCCGGCCTTATTTTCGGTTTTTTTAGTAGAGGTGAGGTCTCGCTCTTTTGCCCAGGCTGGTCTCAAACTCTTGAGCTCAAGTGATCTCCCCTTGCCCTCCCAAAGCACTGGGATTACAGCCATGAGAGCCCCTATACCTGACCCACTCTGTTTTGTTTTGTTTTGTTTTGTTTTGTTTTGTTTTGTTTTGTTTTCTGAGAGAGAGTCTTGCTCTGTTGCCAGGCTGGACTGCAGTGGCACAGTCTCGGCTCACTGCAACCTCCGCCTCCCAAGTTCAAGTGATCCTTCCACCTCAGCCTCCCAAGTACCTGGGACTACAGGGGTGTGCCACCATGCCCAGCTAATTTTTGTATTTTTAGTAGAGATGGGGTTTCACCATGTTAGCCAGGATGGTCTCGAGCTCTTGACCTCGTGATCCTCCCTCCTCTGCCTCCCAAAGTGCTGGGATTACAGGCATGAGCCACTGCTCCCGGCCCACTCTGGTATTTTCTACTTTTATTAAGTTTCTGCTTGTTTATTTTAATGTTGGTCTCAGCCCATTAATTAGATTTCACAACTCACTAATCCTAATGAATTATTGAGAAGCATTGATTTCGTTGGCTCTTCATCTTTGAGGAAGAGTCAGAAGCAAGAATTCAAGAAAAAAATGTTAAAAGGAAATACATTGAGATGTAAACAGCAGTTGTTAAGTGAATAAAATGTTGAGTGGTGTTTTCTAAGGTTACTATAATAATATGCATAAAGAAATTTGCTTTCAGAAAAGAGAAATTACAAAACTGTCGATTATTTAGAAAATAGTGAATTAGCCGGGCGCGGTGGCTCAAGCCTGTAATCCCAGCACTTTGGGAGGCTGAGGCGGGTGGATCACGAGGTCAAGAGATCGAGACCATCCTGGTCAACATGGTGAAACCCCGTCTCTACTAAAAATACAAAATATCAGCTGGGCATGGTGGCGCGTGCCTGTAATCTCAGCTACTCAGGAGGCTGAGGCAGGAGAATTGCCTGAACCCAGGAGGCGGAGGTTGCGGTGAGCCGAGATCGCGCCATTGCACTCCAGCCTGGGTAACAAGAGCGAAACTCCGTCCCAAAAAAAAAAGAAAATAGTGAATTAGGCTGGGCATGCTTCCTGAGAAAATTTGGGCATTTAATGAATTTGGGTTGAATCTACTACTCTGTAAAATGAGTTTTAAATAGGCATTTCTTCCTGCGTTTATGACTTTATAGTACACCTTTCTTCCCTCCTGCAGAAGATGCTTATAAAATCAGGATCCGTATTGATGATGAGCCTGCCAATCTGGACATTTTGGATACAGCTGGACAGGTATTAAATCCCAGAATGTTATGAGTAAAGGCTTTTTTACTCTAGTAAAGGGGAGGGGAAGGCCTATGCAGAGAAGATCACTAGTTTATCTCTCTTAATTTTTCATGCACTCTGACTCAGGATAGCAGGTAATTGACATGCATTTTTAAAAATCTGAAATAAATAGCTAATTGTGTGTGTAGTAGTGCTAGGTTGCATCAGCACATAATGTCCCTTGTTTCCCTATAGGCAGAGTTTACAGCCATGCGGGACCAGTATATGAGGGCAGGAGAAGGGTTTATTATCTGTTACTCTATCACGGATCGTCGAAGTTTCCATGAAGTTCGTGAGTTTAAACAGCTTATTTATCGAGTTCGACGTACTGATGATACACCTGTGGTTCTTGTGGGAAACAAGTCGGACCTCAAACAGCTAAGACAGGTGAGGATAGAGAAGAAAATACTGTCTATAATCTTATGTAAATAAGTCATTTTTGTTTCTTGGCTTACAGATTCTTTTGCCTTCAAATAGAAATCAGGCTGGGTGAGATGGCTCACGCCTGTAATCCCAGCACTTTGTGGGGCCATGGTGGGCAGACTGCTTGAGTTCGGGAGTTCGAGACCAGCCTGAGCAACATGGCGATACCCCATCTCTACAAAAAAATACAAAAAAACATAGCTGGGCATAGTGGTTTGTGCACATGTGGTTCCAGCTAGTTGGGAGGCTGAGGTGGGAGGATTCCTTGAGCTGGGGAGGTGGAGGTTGCAGTGAGATTGAGACTACAGCTCACTGCAGCCTCTACCTCCCCAGTTCAAGCGATCTTCCCACCTCAGCTTTGAGGGTAGCTGGGACCACAGGTGTGTGCCACCACTCCTGGCTAATTTTTTTACTTTTTGTGGAGACAGGATCTCACTGTGTTGCCCAGGTTGGTCTTGAGCACCTGGCCTCAAGTGAGCCTTCTGCCTCGGCCTCCCAAAGTGTTGGGATTACAAGTGTTAGCCACCACACCTGGCTGGAAGTAGTTCGGTAGTAGTCAGATTCATCATGCTTCTCAGTTAATCCCCATTGGGAAAAAATTTTCAGGGATTTATATATAACATGTTCATTGCAAAGCTATTTATGGGCAGCCTAACTGTCCAAAAGTAGAAATTATGGAATATCCGTAATTAGATATGTCAATTATGGGCTCCTAAGAGTTTTCAATATTTTAGTGTAAGTATGTATCTCCCTTCCCTTGTGTTTCTTTTTCTTTTTTCTTTATTTTTATTAAAAAAAATTGTTTTGAGACAGAGTCTCACTCTTGCTCAGGCAGGAGTGCAGTGCTGCAATCTCGGCTCACTGCGACCTCCGCCTCCTGGGTTCAAGTGATTCTCCTGCCTCATCCTCCTGAGTAGCTGCCACCACGCCCAGCTAATTTTTGTATTTTAGCAGAGATGGGGTTTCACCATGTTGGCCAGTCTGGTCTTGAACTTCTGACCTCATGATCCACCCGCCTCAGCCTCCTAAAGTGCTAGGATTGCAGGCGTGAGCCACCGTACCCAGCTGTTCTTTTTTTTCCTTGAGACGGTGTCTTGCTTTGTCACTGAGGCTGGCGTGCAGTGGGGCAAACATGGCTCACTGTAGCCTTGACCTCCTGGGCTCAAGCAATCCTCTTACCTCAGTCTCCTGAGTAGCTGGGACCACAGATGTATACCACCACATCCAGCCAATTTTTTTTTCTTTTTTCTTTTTTTTTTTTGAGATGGAGTCTCACTCTGTCACCCAGGCTGGAGTGCAGTGGCATGATCTCGGCTCACTACAACCTCCACCTCCCGGCTCCAAAGCGATTCTCCTGCCTCAGCCTCATGAGTAACTGGGATTACAGGTGTCCTCCACCATGCCCAGCTTTTTTTTTTTTTTTTTAAGTGGAGACGGGGTTTTATCATGTTGGCTAGGCTGGTCTCAAACCCCAGACCCTCAGGTAATCCACCTGCCTCAGTCTTGCAAAGTATTGGGATTACCGTTGTGAGCCACTGTGCCCAGCCCCAGCTAATTTTTAAAAAATTTTTTTGTAGAAATAGGGTCTCACCATGTTGTCCCAAGCTCTTGGGCCCAAGCAATCCTCCTGCCTCAGCCTCTCAAAGTTCTGGAATTATAGGTGCGAGCCACCAAACCAAGCCTGTTTTTCTTTCTTTTTTTTTTTTTTTTTTTTTTTTTACTTGGAGAGACGGAGTTTCACTCTTGTTACTCAATGGCATGATCTCAGCTCACTTGCAACCTTTGTCTCCTGGGATAAAGCAATTCTCCTGCCTTAGCCTCCTGAGTAGCTGGGATTACAGGCATGCACCACCGCACCTGGCTAATTTTATATTTTTAGTAGAGATGGGGTTTCTTCCTGTTGATCAGGCTGGTCTCAAACTCCTGATCTCAGGTGATTTGCCCACCTTGGCCTCCCAAAGTGCTGGGATTATAGGCATGACCCACTGTGCCTGGCCTTTTCTTTCTTAAAATAAAAAGTGTGGGAAGAATTAAGATTGTGTATTTGATATCTATAACTATTTCTGTTCCAAAAAAAATCTCAAAAATAGACTAGAAGGGCCGGGCGCGGTGGCTCAAGCCTGTAATCCCAGCACTTTGGGAGGCCGAGGCGGGTGGATCACGAGGTCAAGAGATCGAGACCATCCTGATCAACATGGTGAAACCCCGTCTCTACTAAAAAAAAATACAAAAAATTAGCTGGGCATGGTGGCGCGTGCCTGTAGTCCCAGCTACTCAGGAGGCTGAGGCAGGAGAATTGCTTGAACCCAAGAGGTGGAGGTTGCGGTGAGCCGAGATCGCGCCATTGCACTCCAGCCTGGGTAACAAGAGCGAAACTCCGTCTCCAAAAAAAAAAAAAAAAAAAAAA